TGTCCTCCAGCAGTCTAAGCCTATAGCAGCAGAACTATAGAGATAGCTCAGGATAACCTGAGCCACTCTAACTAGAAGCTTTATCAAATAGATCCACTTCTTGACTATAACTAAAGCAAATCTGTGCTGAATAAGTTGAAGCATTTTTGTACCATAAAGGTTTTAGTGGGCAGTGTGCTAGACGGAAATGGGATTTTTGCACTGTGCAAAAATGCATTTTTTAACTCATAAAATGGAATCTGGTCAGACGAACATGCTGATTTCTATTATTGGAGACCTTCTGCATGAGACAATTGCTTCTAAGATTTGATTTATTGAAATGTACAAATAATATCACCAAACCAAATAGGTCTGAGCCTCCAGTTTCTAATGATGGCGCACATGTCAGGTGGAATTTTAAATCTCATTTTATTTGTTTACGCAGCTATAAAACGAAAAGTTTTATGCGTTTCATGTAGAACATGTTTTAGAAATTTTACAGCCCTATTTGAAAGGCGTGTGGATGAAACACCATGTGACTGTGTTTTGGTCATTTCTATACATAGATAAACATAAACTGTGTTACGGTGAGAGTGTTATTGGTTCATTTGATCTGAATTGGGCTGATTACCGTGATAAATCTTTGCTTTGAGCCCAGGTAATGAAAAAAAAATGGCTTTGATGTGTTTGTTTTACTAAAGATGAGGACTGGAAATGTAGCAAAAGGTGAGATAAAACATTGGCTGCAACTGGAATGAGGAAATAGACTCAGATAAAATGAAACAGAATGATTGAAAACACGTTTGATATAATTTAATCTGAATATAAAACTAGAACTAAACTGTTTTAATATTGACACAGATTTTAACACAGGCAGGCTGAAGGCTACCCAATGCACTGCAGCTATCCAGGATACAATATAAATAAACTGGAGGCCTTTTCATTTTATAGTTATCATTATTTAGAAAAAATCTATCTTTTTCTATTTTTATATACAAACAAAAGTTTAATTTAAATTTTTTGGAAACTAAATTAATTAATGTTATTAATCATGGATTTTTACACTAGATTAGACATTAGGAAATATGTGAAAATGGATGAAAGCATCTCTCTCCCCGTTTCCTGTTGAATTTTTCCTGAAATGTGTTTATTTTTATCTACCAGCTGCAAATGTCCCCCAGATTAGCTTTCAGAAATCTGGCCCCCTCAGCTATCAGTGAACTTCAGCACTGATGTATTGACACATCGAAAGCCTGTTGGAGCCTTAAGACCCCACTGCATGCAATCTGTTAAAGGGGGAGGGGGGTGCACAGGGTTAAACCGATCGATGGGGGTCAGACCTTTGAGACTGGGTGCTGACAGCAGCGAGTAATCCTCTCCACGCGGCGTCTTGTCTATAAACACCCTCAGTCAGGGGAATTTAGTGGCCTTGCAGGTGAAACAGGCTTTTAGTGAGTAAATAACATAAATCTATATATGAAATAAGAGAAATCTAAGTTTTCTGAACAAACTTGTCTACAGTGAAAAGAAGGACTGGGTTATTTACTTTTTGGAAACACAGGAAGGAGCAATCAGCTAAGTGAGCTTAGTGCTTGGAAAAAATCTTTCATTCCTTTAGAGACAGCATGAAAAGTTAAAAACAATAAGGTGATAGCTTCATCGGTATTGAGAGAGGATCCCAGTTTTCATCTGCTAAATGGTTTTTTTTTTTTTTTTACAGACTAGGGAAAATACTAATAATTTTTTATAGCTGAATTTATTAGTTTTTCTTCTGTTCTCATTCAGATTTCATAGAAAATTGTCATTTTTAATTAAAGAAAAAAATGTAATGTAAAAATCCTAATTGAATAGAAATTGAATAGAAATTTCACTTCATGCAGTTCTCTTAAAATATTGATATATAATATATATATATATATATAAATATATATCCCTTGTCCTGTTTTTTATTTCATGCTTTTTTGTGCAGCCATTAAAACACGCTGGCCCTCTGGTACATTTGGTGTACAACCGCCACTGAATAATGCATGTCTATTCTGTTAAAAATTTATTTTTTTTAATTAAAAAATTCTCTTTTTTTATTATATTTTTCTGTATAATTGTTTTTATTTATTTTATTTCTTTATAAAAAAAAAAATAATAAAACATTTCAGTATCTGTATAATGGGTCTGTTTTATGTTTTTTCTCAATTAAAAGGGCCCCTTGCCGAGGGCCCCAAATTTCCTAAAACCGCCCCTGCCTCTACATGAGTTTTCTACCAAACATCGTCCATTATTTTACAGCATTAATTTGGTAACAAATTGGTAATAAAAGTGGCTTTAAATGACTTTGTAAATCATTATACAGACGCTTTATTAAAGATTCAGCGGTAAAAGGTGAAATCTAAAGTTACCGGGGCTCTAAACTCAGCTGTAACAGAGCTGCTCAGAGTTCCTAGAAGAACTGCAGAGACGGGTGACCCAGAGATGACCCGGTCAGTGCCCACGTGTCGGTCCACCAGGCTGCCAGGGAGCAAAACCAGCACAGAGAAATGTGGAGGTTTGACTTCAGGCTGGGAGAAAAACAGCTGCTCCACATTAACAGGGCTGACTGTGGACCCTTCCAGTTGATGGATGGTTCCCAACATGTAAACATCTGTGGAAACCACCTCAAGTCAGAGTTAGAAAATAAGTTGATATTTAAAGTTATTTTTATAACTCAGTCACTAACAGGAGGAAACATGTGGCTATAGAAACATGGATGCTGACGTGTTTATAGTCTAAATGTTTTCAGAAAAAAACAAATCATTTTTTCTTCCAATAACAAAACGGCTGTTAAAACTTTATGCTCTAAATTCAAAGTATTTATGTAATCCTGTTAGTTTTACTTAATCACTATTTTCACTTTTAATTATTTATTATTATTGTTGTTGTTGAAACCCTGGCGATTTTTAATAGAAATTGTACTTATTTCTTTTTTTTATTATAAAGAATTTTATAATAAAAAAAAAAAAATTTTTACTCACTTCTTCCTGTAATCTATCCGTCCTCCAATCAGCGTCCAGCTCTGAAGCTTCTACGTGCTGTGATTGGTTCCTCCCTTCCCTGGGCGGGAACGTCCCGCGCAGGGACGCGGCTGATTCAGTGCCGTTGTCATGGCGACACGTTCTGGCCGCGACGGCTGCCGTGAAAACGTCGAGGAAGAAGAGGAACGGCGTGAAGAAGAAGAGGAGGGACAGCCGCCAGTAGACGGACAGCTGCAGCGGGGACATGGCGGCGGTTCCTCTCGGAGCGGTGGAGCTCCGGCGGGTTTGGAGAAGTTTTCAGAAGCTGCTCATGTTGCTGCGAGCTGCTGCTGCCTGGTTGTGTGAACAGCTGCTGCTGTCACAGGACGGTTATTACTGAGCCGCCGGGCTGAGAGCCAACAGGCTCAGATTTACTGCCAACTTTCACCGGGCCCCGCCCCTCCCCTTCTCTCCCCGCCTTCTTTTCCATATATGGTTTTTAGTCCAGGCGGAGAGCGGCAGAGCGACACCCAGTGGTCAGTTCTGAGCACTGCACTGGATATATGCCTGTAAAAACTCATTTAACATTAAGACCACAAACAGGCTTAAATTGGAAGACACCCGAAATTTCGCTCGTTTTTTTTTAGGTTTCTACAGAAGAGGATTAGGGCCACTGAAAAAATACAAAAAGGTTAACTGATTTTTAAATTTTATTTCAGTTTAATACAGGAAAAACAGTCAGAATTCTGACTTTAATCTCACAAGTTTGACTTTTTTCTCAGAATTCCGACCTTTTTTTTTTTTTTTTTTAGAATTCTGACTTTTTTTTCGCAAAATTCTGACTTTAATCTCACAAGTTTGACTCTTTTTCTTCGAATTCTGACTTTTTTTCCGGATCCCTGCTGAGGCTATTTCAATAATGGAAGAGCAGAAAGTGATTAAAACAACATAAGTAGTTTAGTCTCTAAAACAGACATGGCTATGGCTTGATGCATGTTTGTTAGCTGTCAGAATTCAGTGACTAAAGTCAGAATTCTGACTTTTTTTCCCCATATTAAACTGACATAAAATTTAAAAATCAGTTAGCTGTTTCATTTTTTTTTTTTTTTTGTGGCCCTAATCCTGTTCCTTACGTTTCAACCTATTATGATTCATAAGTCCAATCACATATCCCTTACACACCTAAAGGCTCCAACAATGCAGAAGAACAAAGGGGGTCTATTTGATTAGCATCTAACTTGGAATGTGTGCAGGAGGATGGACTTCCATGCTGCTTAAAGGAAAAGTCCGGTCAGCAAGATATGATCAGTGGATCATTATCTTTACCTAAGACTAATATGTTCGTGGTGATTTAATGAATTTAGCGTTAATCAGTAAAAAAATAACAAGAATTTTCGTCTCGATCACTGAGTCTGGGAGCGGCCATTTTTGCCCAATTCACCAGAGCTATAGTTAAACTGACAATGCCTACGTGCATGGCACTCAGCACCACAGTTTGCTCTGGTGCGAGCCGACAGAATCGACAAAGACTCCTGCATAGGTGTCGAAACGTCTTCAAAAAAACGTAGCGGAAGACTAACTGCCTGTTTGTGACTGCACCGGAAAATAAACGCAGGTCCTCGAGCAAAACGTGTCAAACCAAAACCAGTAGGACCGTCCTCAGTTCTTAGAAAAAAACAAGCAGTTAGTTCATAGGAAAAATTGTCAGTTCCCAGGAAAACTAAAGTTCTGAATTCTTGGGAAACAATGAAGCTTATTTTTATGATTCAGTGACATTGTGACCAACTGCTGTGCTACATCCTAACCTAAAACATCTTCAAAGTTTATTTTGAGTCATATAAAATGAGATATATTGATTTTAAGCTAACATAGCTAACAGTCCACTTTGACCTGCAAATACTGATGGGAAATTAAGGACCATGAAGCAGACTCCGGATGATGCAGCTTTGCTGGGATGTTTGGTGCAGCTGAAGCAAACAGATCATCAATATAGACGCTTTCATATAGAAAACCTTAGTTTTTCAAAAACTGCGTCGACCCGCTAACAGTCGGCTTTTGGCTCTTTTCTCATCTGAACAAAAAGCCGGGTCTAACCCTCTCTTCAGAATACTACATGTAAACTAATGTCCTCTTCTCACCTGCTCATCTTTATCTATTTATAGAAAAGGCCAAAACAGTCACATGGTGTTTCGTCCACAGGCCTTTCAAATAGTTTCTAAAACATGTTCTAGATTAAATATCTAAAACTTTTTGTTTTGACATTAATCTCAGAATTCTGACTTTTTTCTCAGAATTTAAACTTTTTTCCAGGTCCCCGGTGAGGCTATTTTATTAATAGAAGATCAGAAGGTGATTAAAACAAGAGAGCTAGTTTCTAAAACAGACAATTTTGACTTTTTTCTCAGAATTCTGACTTTAAACTAAAAATTCTGTCTTTTTTCTCAGATTTCTGACTTTAATCTCAGAATTCTGACTTTTTTTTGTCGGCACTCTGACTTTTTTGTGGGTTCCTGGTGATGCTGTTTGATTAATGAAAGGGCAGAAGGTGATTAAAACAAGAGAGCTAGTCTCTAAACCAGACATGGCTGCTGCTGGATGCTAACATGTTTGTTACCTATCAGAATTCAGTCAGAATTCAGGGAAAAAGTCAGAATTATGAGATGAAAGTTAGAATTCTGAGATAAGTCATAATTCTAACTTTTTTCCCATATTAAACTGAAATAACATAAAAAAATGTGTAAACTTTTATTTATAGCTGTGTAAACAACTAAACTGAGATTTAAAAGTCCGCCAAACATGTGTGACTCTGCAGGAGTAATGCCACCGCTCACAAGTGCTGTGCCATGTTTCTCAAATACGGCTCAACCTGGCTCTGGTGTTCCCACAGCATGCATATCAGAGCCGAGGCGATTTTACCGGGGGTAAATTCTATTTACCGGGGCTAAATTACTTTTAATTTGCTGGATTACTTTTAATCTGTGGACCCTTGTTGAGTATAGAGCTTTCTAAGCTTTCTAATAATTAATAACATGTCTATACTGGTAAAAATGTTACCGGTGGAATTTTATCCATCCATTATCTGACACACTTGTCCCGATTGGGGTCTTGAGGGGTGCTGGTGCCTATCTCCAGCAGTCAATGGGCGAGAGGCGGGGTCCACCCTGGACAGGTCGCCAGTCCATCGCAGGGAATTTGATCCATTTTGAGTTATTTAACAGGTGGGTTTAAAGAGGTTTTAATTCATTTCCCAAATAACTTATATTTGTGAAAAATCCAAAAGCCTCAAATGCATTTGA